TTGGATGAAACTTATGATGATTATGTGTCTTCACTGGAAGTTTTAAACAGAGATGAACTTACATTGACTGGCATAACTGGAAGACTGTTAGAAGAGTCAAGAAGAAGACAAGATAGAAATCAACTGAGAGAAAGATAACCACAGGAAGAAAAACTGTCTTCAACTGCCTATATTGTTAGGAAATGTTTTTCTTGTGGGGCTAAAGGTCATATAGCCAGATACTGTAAAAAGGGTAAGAAACAGAATGCTATTAATATACAGAGAGCTTATAAAGATGTTAGTTTAGCCATATCAAATACAACTACAACTGTAAACCATGATATATGGGTAGTTAACAGTGGAGCATCACAGTGTATAACTAAAAGTAAAGAGAGGTTTGTTAACATAACAAAGAGTAAACAGCATGTATCATTAGCCAATGGATGGAAATTGAGAGCATCTGGAGAAGGTACTGCATATTGTTCATGAATTAATGAACATTTACCGATGTTATATGTACCTAGAATGATATTTAACTTGCTATCTGTAAGAGCATTGGTAAAAGCAGGATTTGTTGTAACTTTTTAGGGAGATAAATGTTTAATTGAAAAACAGGGTAAGAGAGTTACTGCAAGATTGAATAATGGTTTGTTTATTATACATGATAATCCATTAATTAATGCTAACTCAGTTTATGAGAATAAAAAGCCTCATGATGAATGTATTCATCTGCTCCATAGATGTATGGGACATATAAATTTCAAAATGCTAAAGAAAACTGTTGAGTTATCTAATGGTATAAAATTAAAACCTTGTACAAAGTATTTAAATTGCAATGTTTGCAATCAAGAAAAAAGCAAGGTAACTCCTGCAAATAGGGTAAATGGATTCAAAACCAGTGAACCATTAGAGGTTGTTTTTGTTGATATTATTGGACCTATGAAACCTAGTTTAGGTGGAGCCTGTTACATATTAAGTGTAATTGATCATTTTTCCAGATATGGTTTCTGTTATTTAATGAAAACGAAGATGTAAACATACCAGCATTTTGTAAACTGGCTAAAATTTTCTGAAAGGAAAAAGAAACAGAAAGTTATTAGTTTAGTAACAGATAATGGTACTGAATTTACCAATAAAAAATTTGAAGCCATGTTACAGAAAGCTGGCATTGAACATAAGCGTTCTGCTCCTTATAGACCACAACATAACTCATATATTGAACGTATTCTGGTTTATCAGAGGAACTTTGGGGTGAAGCAATAATGTGTGCTAACCATGTTTTGAATAACATAGTGAATTCAACGACTGGTGAATTACCATTTACTTGTTGGAATGGAAAAAAGCCAGATCTCAGTTATTTACATACATTTGGAACCCCAGCATGGGTTCATATTCCCACTCAAGTAAGGCGAAAGGGACAACATAGAGTGAGACAATTATATTTTGTAGGTTATGAAGCTAATCATAGATCATTTAGATTTTGGGAGCCAGGTACTACTAATGTATATTGCAGTGCAAGTGCTAAATTTCTGGAGCATGTTGGCTGGAGAAAGCTTGAACAGGAATATAATAAGGTACAGGATAGTGTTGTTGTTGAGATTCCATTGTTTACTGATAATCCTAATGATAATAATATTGATGATAAGATAGTGAAGAATCCTCAATGGAGGAATCATCAATAGAAGAACCCTCTATGTAGAAGACAAGGACTGTAGAAGACAAGGATTTGATAGGGGAGATAAAGGAAGAGGACATGCCAACAACATGTACTGAGTTGCCTAGGAGGTCAACTAGGGAGAGACACCCACCTGACAGATTTCAAGCAAGCATTATATGTCAGGTTAATACAGAACCTTCTAACTTCAATGAAATAAAACTGTATCCTACAAAAGATCAGGTAGCTTGGCAGGAAGCTATGAATAGAGAGTTAAAATCGTTAAAGGATTTAGAGGTGTATGAGGACGTAAAGTTACCACCAGGTGAGCATGTAATAGGTTGCAAATAGGTGTATAAGATAAAGACTGGTGTGGATGGGACTATTACCCATAAAGCAAGATTAGTTGCTCAAGGATTTGCTCAGTCAGATAAGGACTATGATGAAGTCTTTGCACCTAGTCTGAGAGCAAATACAGCATTAGTTTGGGCAGCTAAGAATAAATGTAAAATAAACCATGTAGATGTTGAAACTGCATGTCTACATGCACCTTTACAACATACCATCTATATGAAAAAGCCACTAGGTTTAAATGATGATGGAAAAACTGATGATTGGAAATTAAAGAAAAGTCTTTATGATCTAAAGCAATCCAGTTATGAATGGAATAAATGTATTGTAAAGGAATTAGTTTCAATAGGTTTTGAAGCTGGTATAGCTGATCCTTGTTTGTTTCGAAGAGAAAAAGATGGTTTAATTTCTCTATTACTATTTAATATTCTCTATTATCCATTCTCTATTATGGATGACATAGCAATTATAACTGAAACTGAACAAGAAGCAAATAATATTGTTTATAGATTACAGAAAAAGTTCAGGATTAGAAATTTAGGGGAGATTAAGCATTATTTGGGTCTTGATATAGTGAAAATGAATAAAGGTTTTAAAATCTCGCAAGCCAAGAAGATTAGCCAATCATTAAAATGCTATAACATGGAGCATTGTAAATCTACTAAGACACCAATGAGTAAGGAATTTACACATAGTGATATCAAAAGTCCTATGTTTGATAAGGAAATATATCAATCCTTAATCGGTAGTCTATCATATCTGGGTAATTGGTCTAGACCAAATATATGTAAACCAATTGGCTAGGTATAACACTGAACCAAATGAACGGCATTGGCAAGCAGCTAAGCGAATAATTAAGTATTTAAAACACACAATCAATTATATTAATCAATTAATCATTATATTTAGAACCAAGTAATGAATTAGTGTTAACTGCATATGTTGATGCAAGTTTTGCTCCTGATATAATGACTCATAAGTCAACATCAGGTATAATGGTAATGTTGGGTAATGTTTTAATAGGATGGAAGTCTATTAGGCAACAACATATTAGTTTATCCACTATGGAAGCAGAATTCTCATGTTTATCATTGATGTGTACAGAATTGATATATCATAAACAATTGTTGAAAGATATTGGAATTACTGTACATGATCCATTTATTGTTTATGAAGACAATCAATCTGCAATTAATATGGCTACTAATTTAGCTGTTAAAACAAGGTCTAAACATACTTATTTGAGATATTTGAACGTTAGACAGTGTGTTCAAAATAAATTAATTCAGTTAGAATACTGCATGACTGAACATAATATTGCAGATTATTTCACAAAAGCTCAAGGTGCAATTAAGCATAGAGTGTTGTGAGAATTATGGTTTAAAGATGTAATGTATTATATATTTGACCTACCCAAAGGGGAGAATGTTAGGAATCTGTCCACCAATTAGTTGGGTTGGCAATATATAAACCAACAATGTATGTTTGTAGCTTTAAGACAAACTCACTGTGTTGATTTGTACTATATTCCGAATGGTTGGTTGTGTTGCGAATTGCCATAAGAGGGAGCTAGAGATCATGGCTTGCTCTCTCTGACATTCTGTATCTCTGACATTCTGTTGCTATCTAAAGTTCTCTGTTGTGCTTATACTTTGATATCTTTGTTTACTGTAAATGACAAAGGCAACTGGTAAGAAGACTTTGTAATTGGATATTCTTTGGACTGTAAAACGTATATGACCTGGACCGTTTATTGGACTGTGCTATTTCTTAAAATAAACTTTAACTCAATTTAGTGTATCTGTGTGTGGCTGGATAATTATTCATAACTATTCTCATAAACGTTTCCATGTGCATATCCTTGTTCCTCAAGGGTTATTCTGTACATATCATAACATGGTTCCAAAGGGGGAAAGTCTTTCTATACAATTAAGTATTGGGTTTTCCCTCTGAGTCTATGAGAGTCTAAAATCTCTTTAACTTCAAAGTGCCATTTGCCTTCAGTCAGGATAGGAGTAGATGGTAGGTTTGTTGCAGGGCACAAGGGAGAAGTGATTGTCAGTTTCAACAGGCTACAGTGAAAAACTGGGTGAATAATTCTAAGAGTTTTGGGTAGGTCCAGTTGAACCATTACTGGGTTGATGGTCTTGTTGATAGGGAAAGAGCCAATGTACTTGGGACCTAACTGTCAACTCTGCCTGGCCAGGCTGGGGCCTCACAAGCATCCTGCCATCAAAAGGGGCATGCATAAGTGCACCATCATGCCTCCTGTCCCCATTTAATCATACCTATTTTCTGTATTCTTACTCATGTTTATACTTATACCTATTATTTTGTAAGTGATTGACAAATCAAATAAATATAAATAAATAAATAAATAAAATAAAAGAAGCTTCTGGTGCTTTGATTCCCCTCTTCTTTGTGGCAGCCCCTCAAGTATTGGAATACTGCTGTCATGTTCTTTTCTCTACATCGGGGATACCCAAATCTGTAACCGTTCTTCATATGTTTTAGTCTCCAGGACTTTAATCATCTTAGTCACTCTTCTCTGCACTTTTTCCAAAGTCTCAACATATTTTTTTTGGTAATGTGGTGACCAAAACTGGATGCAGTATTTCCAGTGAGGTCTTACTAAAATTTTATAAAGGCTTTTTTATAAAGAAGTTCACCTTTTTTATTCTATGCCTCTGTTTATGCAACTAAGGACTGTGTTAGCTTTTTTGGCTGCTGCCACACACTGCTGGCTCACTGCTGTACATTGCTGATTGACAGCTTAGTGTAACTAAGAGAATTCACTGTTGAAAAGGATATGTTTTAGCCTAGCAACAGTTGTTAGGTGAAGTATAATCCATCTACTGTAATTGGAGGAGAAACTTCATTGTGACACAAAACCTAACAATGGAAATGTTATCTAAGATACATAAGTCTTCACAGTATTGGGGCATCACAACAGAAGATTTAATGGTTATATAGCAGTGAATAGATGTCCAAGTTGTGTTCCAAATGAGAAATAATAATGACTAATAAGAATGATCAAATTGAGATTTCAACCCTTGGTAAATTAGCTGCTCATGTCCCTGATATCATTGTGTATGGAGATTTTGCTCAGGAAATGCCTTTTATTGAAAGCTTTGATGGTGTTCTGCTTTTTATGGACATTTCAGGTAAGCAAAGGAAATCAGTATGTCACTGAGGGAAGAGGAAGGATTTCAAAGAGAGTTTTTTTTTTTTTAATGGAAACCTAAAATACTAAATGAGAAAAAATAGTGCAAACCTTTGCTGCTCTTCCTGAAAATAAAGCAAGGTTTTAAAATATCCATACAAACACACAGTAAACCTCAATGGGATTACTGATTTTTCAATGTGCATCTATTTAATTATTATTTTTCTTTTCTTGGAAAAAAGAACTTACTTTGAGGATATAGAAATGCGCAGTGCAGGAAATAATGTTCTATGTGTCAACTGCTGTCAATGAGAGATTCTATGGAGATTTTCCTTTGTCAGTTGAAACTTAGAGCTGTTTGTTTCTCTTCTTCAAGCTAAGATTTTCTTTTTAAAATCTAATGAATCAGCTCCTACTTGTCCTTTTATCCCTAATCCACAGCATGTTTTACTGACAGCAGTTGCTTATGATTTTCAAGGTTTCACAGCTCTGACAGAAAAGTTTAGCATGAACACCAGCTTGGATCGTGGTGCTGATGAATTAACACAGACCCTTAATCACTATGTGGGTGATATTGTTGAAGGTGAGTTTCGAACTATGTATGATCTGACTTTGAAGAATATCCATCATAAACAGAGTATTTCCAAACTATCTTTGTTTAAAAGCAGGCCTTTACTTTCTAGAAAACAGAACAAAGCTGTGCACAGAGGCATAAAACAGATCCACAGATGTTACTTCTTTGTTATAACGCTTCAGCTTCAGAGATGCCAAATTCTTTCACTAATCATATTTCAGTGTTCTTGTCATTGGAAGAATGTGTCCAATTAGTAATGCCAGTGAATGTTTATTAGGCCAACTATGTGTTTTGCCACATTAAAAAGTGGGCAGGAGATTCACTATGAATGTACTAGTAAAGTAGAAGTATACAATAAAGGATTAATTAAGCAAAGCACTGCAAAGAAACTACAAAGTATAAGACTGGGAATATCCATAGACAAGGCAATGAAAAAGATGTAGCAACATTTGCCAAAAAATGTGAAAGAGAATAAAATCTTACATCCCTATGGTCATTGAAAGACTATCCTTATCAAAAGTGGGATTAGTTGAAATAGTCTGGGGGATATCCCTCAGACAATTCCAACCGATGTAAAGCACTCTCCTTCGGCAGGCCTCTTCCTACATCAGTTTCTGAAAACTTGTATAATATTCTACTGCAATTATTCAACCTATTTGTGCATCTTCATTGTTTAGATTTCTTGCCTAATAATTCTTATTTATTATTATCTTTAAGTTTGTTTGATGTCCATCTTGACTCTGGGTAGGTTATTAAGTGTTTACATGAGAAAGTACTAGCTCAGGGATGTCAAGTTCGGTTTATTGAGGGTCTCATCAGGGTTGTGTTTGACCTCAGGGGACCTGGGGGGGCAGGGGGGCATGGCCAGCTCGATGTGACTCATGTTGGGGGTACCTGTGGTGGCCAAGTGCTAAAGCAGGACTGCCCTCAGACCCCTCCATCTCTCTCACTATAATCTATCTTCCTTCCTTCCTTCCTTCCTTCCTTCCTTCCTTCCTTCCTTCCTTCCTTCCTTCCTTCCTTCCTTCCTTCCTTCCTTCCTTCCTTCCTTCCTTTCCTTCCTTCTTTGTTCCTTCTCTTTTTTCTTCCTTCTCCTCTTTCCTTCTTTTTCCTTCTTTTTCCTTATTTGCTCGCTTCCCATCTTTCCTTCTTTTTCTTTGTCTTTCCTCTTTCCCTTTCTCCTTTTGTGTCCCTTCTTGGATGCAAAAGCATTTCTCCTTTTGTTTTGTTTTTAATTTGTTTTGCTAGCTCTCTGCCAGTGAAAATGGAGCTTGAGGGGTCACACATGGCCCTCCTGTGTTCTGTTTTTGATGGCAGAGGCACCACAGGCCAGCCCTTCACTGTTTCCAGGGGCCAGATCTAAGCACCCTGCAGACCAGTTCTGGCCCACAGGCCTTGAATTTGACACCCCTGTACTAGCTCATCTATTATGTCCTCATTATATGACTAGCCTTGGCAAAACACATTTCAAAGACACAAGCACTTGCTTTTAACTATATAAAAATGTCCAGTTAAGGTATTGGGGTAACAATGATTAGAGGTTGAGAACTTTTGAGAAGCCAAAACTTCATCTGGCCATATTCTGCACAAACATTGTATACATATGCCATTGTATACATAAAAATGTCCTCCCCAAAAAGGTTGTACTGCTTAAGTTTTCTGACATTTGTAGGGTTTTTTAAATACATATTTAGAGTTGGTTTCCATAATAGAATTACAACATGACATTTCTGATATGCTGCAACCCTTGTACCTCTTCCCACCTTCAAAGATTTGATTTGCAAAAGATATGAATGCAACCTCTGAGTTGTGTGTACAGTATTTGTTTTAGGGTGTGCCGGTTTGAAGTTCATTGCTATTGATACATTGAATGTTTTCTGATAACGAAGATTTGAAAATGAGTGGGCCAGAGAGAAAACATCTCCAATTTATTATGTGTGCAAAGGATATTGTCAGGCTACAGAACTTTTCCCATTCACTCAACTAGAATGAACTTCTGAAAATGTATCAAAATGTATCAAAAAGGAATCCTTTATTGAGATGAGACAATTCCTGTAGGAGTTCAAAGCAGTGTCTGAGGTCTCTCAGGCATACAGGGATACATAAGGGAATTTAGAACCCCTCCCCTTATCTCAATGTGTATTTAGTGAAACAAAAGCCAGTATGTTAATTCCTCCCCACCCCTTTTGTAAGGAACGATCTTTTCCACAGTTTCCCAGGGCATATCTAATTCCCCCTCCTCCCCTTTTAGAATGAACAATTCAAGAGATTCCCAAGACACAACTCAGTGTGGAATTTTTATGATCTTCTCATCTCCTGGCTGTGCCTCTCAGGGGTGATAGGTTCCAGCCATCTGGCTTTTCTCCCTCCATTGTATCATGTGTGGGTTATACAAATTCTATATAAGATTAAATATATTCAGGTTACATCAAGAAAGGATTTCTTTATTAGCCCCCCCGCTTTTCTTCTTCCACTGAAGAAATGACAGATAGACGGGTCTGACAGCTATTAATGATATTACTTTTTTCTGCAGTGGTAATAGCCAGGTTATTGAAAATTAGAGAATTATCTGAATAAATTCTAATAATTTAGAAAGAGTCTAAGGAGTTTAGATGATGATCCTTTGCCATACTCACTTCACTGCCAGCCAACCACCACTGCCCAATCACAGTTAGCTTTCCTGCTCTGCTGCCACACTGCCAGCTATTCTCCACAGCCAAAGGCCCCCCAACCCTCCACCTCCAGCCCTTTGTCCTGGCCCATTCTCTGAGGCATGGTGTAATCCAGGTGTTTCACTGCATGGGACAAGTAGCCACCATCCAATCAAGAGGCAGAGGAGCCCTGTGCCCTGCTAAGCTCCTGACTTCTCACATGTGCCTGACATCAGGGGAGGGGGCTGCGTGAAGAGCTGTGCCTGTTTTAAAGAGCCATCCATGCCAGCTCCCTTGCCTGCTCGGCTCCACTGGTCATTCGCAGAAGAAACAGGTTGATGGGCATTGCTAGAAAGGACACTGGGAAGTGTTTAGATCTGGCCTGCAACGCCACCCTAGAAACAGCAAAAGACTAGTTCGCAGTGCCTTGACCCAGCCCAGGCTGACCGGGTGCTGATCAGCAACCTGGTGGCAGCCATCTGGGCCAAACCGTGGCCAGCCTTAGATTGGCAGCGCTGCCTTGGCCTCACCCCGAGTGGCCCAGGAGGTGGTGAGCTGGCATGCCTGGGGACTGCATTCTGAGTGCTTCCCTTTCACCCAAGATGCCAGCCCTCACATGCTCACCACCTCCTGTGCACATGAGGCAGTGCTGGGGTGGTGCTGCGGAACTAAGACTGGCCACAGTCTGACCTGGATGGCCACCACCAGGTTGAAGATCAGTGCCACACCTACACCAAGACACTAGCTCTCGTGTGCCCACTGCCTCCTGTGTGTATGCCCAGGGGCTGAGGCAGTGCCGTGAATCTAAGTCTGGCTGCAGTCCAGCCTGGATGGCCATCACTAGGTTGCAGATCAGCACCGCATCTGCACCAGCATGTCCATGCCCTGCTTGTTGGTCTTTCACTGAGACTGCCCTGCTCCCACATGGGAAAGCCATGGTGCGAATCTCTCCCCCTCCCCTCATCCCTTTCTGAGCATGGAGGAAGGAAAAAGATGGGAAGGAGATAGAATGGGACCTTTAGGCCATGGGGCTTCTGCCTGTCAGCATGCAATGGGTGATTGCAGGGGCTGTGTGGGGGACGTGGCAGGTGAGTGGCAGTGGCGTGCAGTTTCTGGCATTGTGGAGGGGGGGCAGAAGCAGAACTTCCCTCTTGGCATCAGGCATAGAGTCAGTCCAGGAAATTTCATGTTGTATTCCTATCACGTCAGAGCAAAATCCACGATTGTGCATGGTTTTGCTCCATGCTCCCTCATCAGAGGGTCTCAATTGGGACTGGAAACACCCTGGAAGGGTGGTGAAGAAAGGGAGATCCATTGGAGGGTCAAGGGGAGCTGCATCTCCCTTCCTCGACAGGGAAAACCCCCTCTGAAGACGAGCTGCAGGGGTGGTTAAAAATGGCCACCATGAAGACAGGAGGCAGTCTGGGAAAATAAGACTGTGCTGGAGCGGAAAGTTGTGAGCAAAGTGTGAACCAGGCATAATTTAGGATAATAAAGTACCTCAGAATTAAGAAACAAAGAAATTGTCAGAAATGATTGTAAAAGCGGTGACCAGAGAGAGAGAAAAAAATTTGGAAACAAGTGAAAGTGGCTTAGAACTTTGAAAAAAACTAAATTGAAAGAAAAAGTTAGAAGAAAAATTGACTATAAAAGATTTGGAAATTAAACTGGATAAATATATGATTTTGGCACTAAACAGGCATAACTAAATGCTGAAATTGAACATGTTAAAAACAAATAATAGTTAATAATTGGAATCATTGAATTATTGGAATCTAAAAGCCTAAAAAGGGAAAGAAAGTGAAAAGAAAAGGTGGAACTTGGACATAACAGAGAGCGCCACCTAATGGTAAAGGAAAAATTTCAGTGACTCTTTGAAAAGTGCTTGGTCCTTTTTAAACTGGAACTTGATATAAAATAAGAGGAACTTTATTATAATAATACAGAAACCCTGAAGAGTGAAAAAAACAGAATATTATAAAGAAAGAAAATGTTATAAAGAAAGAAGTGTGAAGCAATTACCCTGGGATTACTTTGGTGACTTTGAAAAAATTGAAAGAGGAATTAACAGAAGGAACCTGGAAATAAAGATTTATGGACATTGATTATTGGAAATAAATATCAAAGATGCTAGTTGAAATACATTATTGGACAATTGGATTGGACTTAAACATTAAAGAAAGGGAAAAATAAAAATTAAAAGAAGTGCACAAAATGGCAGAACTTTGTCTGGAAATAAAATTGGAATTAAGAAGCATAAAAGAAATGATACATGAAAGAATGGAAAGGTGCAGTATTGTATAATTTTCTGAGATTGTGGATTTGGGGTTTTCATGAGCTGTAAGCCATAATCATTAC